TTCTATTAATTTTCCGAAATCATGCACAGCCCTGAAAAAACCAATAGAAACACTTAAATATTTATCAAAGCGAATCAGTATGATTCTACAGTCTAGTTTCACGTCACTGAAAACTTTAAAATCGGGGAGGATATGATTGATGGACTCTGAAGGGATGGCGACGGGTGGAGTATGAACGCTGTCGCGGGCAAGGGACACTCACTCTGCTTATCACAGTGGACAAAACACAAACCGGGATGAAAACGAGCGAATCGAACTCAGTACAGTCGGGACAACACGAACAGAGACAGGGTACTAACGATGACTAGAGAAATATTCTCTGTACGGGAACAGCAGCAGCAGTCCTGCCTCAGCCGAATCCTTTTTGTAGATCGAGTATGTACTGACAAAGCCGTTGTGAGTTTGTCTCGTACGGGATGCGATTGCAGTACCGAAGTCACAAGCTGCTGGCTGAGGAAAATCTTGGCTCAGTGGTACTGCAGCTAGAGCTCTGTCCATTTGTCAACCTGAACATCAGCTTTCAACACTTCTGTCGTGCCATTTGGTTCTTTGCAGCAGTTTTGGTTTTGGAACGTACTCTTGTGTGTTGAGGGGACCGACGCTCAGTTCGCTGTGTCCCCAGACGGCTGTCGACGGTGTAAACAGAGTTCCAGTTTCTTGCTCTGCTGTGGTGAACGAAAGTGGAACGGACGCATTCCGACCAACAGCATTGTGCCAAGGAGTCATCATAGAGAAGTCTCGCGGACTAAATTAAAGAATTTATAGATTTGCGCCGTTGCGGAAGGAGCGATACCTTCACTAGCCGTTTCTTGACTCTTTGACGATAATGGCACCCACCGGTGGCTGCCACCCTGTCCACCGTGTGGGGTAGTGGCAGCCAATGATGGGTGCCATCTTAAAATTCTCATTTCTCAACACCCTACAATTACAAGCAAACTTCCACATATTTATGTTCAGCACGATTACAGAAATGTTCAATAAGACTACTTCGTATCAAATTTTTTGAAGGTGACATTCGTCGGCGTATTGAAGGCCAACCCCCGGATTTGCCCGACTAGTAGGAAGGATACCGCTAGGAAATTGTGGGGTCCGTACCTACCTAGATCACTCCAGCTTCGTCGCAAAATTGCGCGGTTAGGGCGCTAATCCTTACGGGCCTGCAACCATCGACCCCCGTTGCAACGCTTCCCACCCACCGCGATTGATGTAGAGATCAGCGCTCTCTCGAACGGCGTGCTCTCTCGCGTGTTTTGTCTTCTTTGATCGCCTCGCCGTCGTACCACATCCGACCTTACTGAAGGTTAAGGCCCTAATTTAGCGTTTTCGATGATTTCTCTTTCTTTCCTTTCCATTTTCAGTTCATTCCGTGGCTTAGTTGTCACTACAAAGCGCTTTGTACGGCAGTTTTATTCCAAAGTTTGCCTTTAAATAGCGTATCAAGAGCGGAGTTGTATTCTGTTCTCAAAGATCAGCTTCCTTTGAAGCAACTACACTCAAGAGCCGTGCAGAGTTCACCTTCCCGTGACTATACAGGGTGGTCCAAAATTATGAGGACCGCGTGCGCGCAGTCATATCCACTTTTTTCCGAGTCGCTCCATTTTCATCTCCTTTTCTGTGCACTATGTGAAGGGTACAATGTCTTCTTCCTAATGAAACCAAATTTCATGCAGTTCTCAAAACTAGTGAAATAACTACATCACCTTACGTCAGTCCTCAAATTGAACTCACTAGGGGCTCTGGCACGTTACATCTAGCGGCAGTCTAACGTATCAGGGAAGCTCTTATGAGCA